GCTGAGGCGGTGGATCACTTGAGTCAGGAGTTGAGCACCAACTTACGCCACATGGTGACACCATTCTTCTAAAATACAAAAAAAAAAGCTAGACATCATGGTGCACCCCTGTAATCCCAGCTACTTGGGAGGCTGAGGCATGAGAATCGCTTGAACCCAGGAGGCAGAGGTTACAGTGAGCCAAGACCAGGCCATTGTACTCCAGTCTAGGGGACAGAGCGGGTCTCTGTTTCAAAAAATAAGAAATAAAAATAGGTTTCTAAATAAGAATGTATGGTGCCTCCCATGTTATTTCTGTTTTTCACAACCCCAGTTGGAGTGCTCAACATTTGTTATTGTTGTTGTTATTTTTTGAGACAGAGTCTTGTTCTGTCAGGTGAGATAGGCTGGAGTGCAGTAGTGCAGTCACAGCTCACTGCAGCCTCTACCTCCCGGGCTCAAGCAATCCTCCCGCCTCAACCTCCCAAGTAGCTGGAACTACAAGTGTGCTTCACAAACCCAGCTAATCTTTAAATTTTTTGTAGAGATGCCATATCACTATGTTTCCAAGGCTGGTCTCGATCTCCTGGGCTCAAGCGATCCTCCTGCCTCAACCTCCCAAAGTGCTGGGATTACAGACATGAGCCACCATGCCCAGCCTTGAGAGAACTTCTCGGCTCTCTACGGAAGGGCTTGGTCCTAAGCCTGGGCTTCCCGTTTCTAAAATGGGGATATTTTCTTCTACTTGCAGTGGTGGTTGCAAGGTTTATATGAATTCATATTTCTAGATTCGGTGAGGAGCTTCCCAAAGAAGAGAAAGGCATGTCTGAAAGAGCTAAGGGTGCATTTCAGATGCATTTGCCCGTTCACTCTGCCCAGCTGAGACTGTCTGACTTAGCTTGATGGATGGTCAGAACCCCCCTGGACAGGGCCTGGCTCCACGATGAAGAGCTGAGGTCAGCCAGCTATGGTTCATGCACCACCTCCAGCCCATTCCTAGCTTCAGCCTCAGCCTCCCGAGTAGCTGAGACTACAGGTGCACACCACCACACCCTGATAATGTATTTATTTATTTTTTGTATAAATGAGGTCTGACTGTGTTGCCTAGGCTAGTCTTGAACTCCTGGGCTCAAGGAATCCTCCTGCCTCAACCTCCCAAAATGCTGGGATTATAAGCATGAGCTAGAATGGCTTTTATATTTTCAAACGGTTGGGAAAAAATGAAAGCCAAATATTTCTTGATGTGTGAAAATGACATGAAAACCATTTCAGTGTTCATAATTAAAGTTTTATTGGAATGCAGCCATTCTTTTCACGTTATCTGCAGCTACTCATGTGCTACAACAGAAGTTGCATGCCGGCGATGGAGGAGCTCCATATGGCAGGCCAAGCTAAAAGCATTTCCTGGGTGGCCCTTGACAGAAACAGTCAATGATTTTGGAGTCTGACACTTGCTGTTGGAATCTTTTCTGCAAGAAAAAAATCTTTTCTGCAAGAGAGTTCTGTGACATCCCAACTCCAGTCTGGACATTTGCAGAATAGGAGGGTTTTGTGATTGTTTGGGTATTAAATAAGATAATGCTTTGAAGTTTCACGCACACCTAGCATAGGTGCTTATTGAATGAGTCTCCTTTTTCCCTTTTCTTGGCTCTCTTTGGAAACTTCCCTCCGATGGCAAACACTCCAGATTTGTGCTTCCTGCCATTCAGGAAGCATTCCCGGAGCATGCCCTGAGCTAGACCCCGGGAGATGAAATAACAGGGGCAGCCTTTTTTCTAGGGGCCTCCTGGATCCCCCAGTGGGTGATGATGCCATGGACAACTGCTGTGATGAAGTTGCATCCCAGTGGTTTGGGAACGCAGACGGAAGGCCGTTAATTCAGCCTGGGGCAATGGGCACAGCCTCAAGAGTGAGAAGGGAGCCTGGGGTTAGTATTGCAGGTGGGCACCCGCTGGGGGTTCAGAAGAGCTTGGAGAAGGCAGGAGATGATCAGCAATGCCTCGAGGTTGTTAAGCTCTTACCAGTTGCCAGTCTGTTTTGGGAGCTGTGTGAGCTCTGGCCCATTTCATCTCACTTTCTCCCAATGAGGCAGGTGTTATTAACCATACCATATGGATGAGGGGACTTGGGCACAGAAGGGTTAATTAGGTGCCTAAGGTGGGGCCAAGGTTCAAGCCACAGGCAGTGGGATCCCAACCCCAGGGTCTTGACTGCTGGACCACAGAGCTACATCATGGGGACCTGTCCTTGAAATGATAGGCTACAAGGATTGGACTTAGGCCTGGGGCCAGTAGGGAGCCATGAAGGAATATGGGGAGACAGAACTGTGATCAGGGCGTGTTTTGAAAAACTTAATCTCTAGGAGTACAGTCTGGCTCATAGCAGGGACACCATCATTTTTCCAAATGTCACCCACCCTCAGGACATCATCTTGCCCCTGTGTTGTTTTAAGACCTTTGGTGGGACTGGCTGAAAATAGAGATGACTCTAACCCATGCAACACATATCACCGTATTCATGGGGAAATGGGGCAGTTTGCCATTGATTTGCACACCCTGTGGACACTGTTGTGTAATGGAGCTAGAAATACTGGTTTCTAGCATTCAGCCCAGCTCAGATTGAATCTTGGCGCTTTCCTAGCTGGGTGCCCTTGGGCAAATCGCTTTATCTCTCTGTATCTTGGTGTCCTCATCTGTCAAACTGGGATTGTAATGGTACCGCCTTATGGAGTGGTCAGGAGAGTTCACTGAGCTCGTGTATGTCAAGCTCTTAGAGCAATGCCCAGCACCTTGGTGAGTGCTCAAAACGATAGTGTGATGTATTAGTAGTAGTGCTAATGTTGTTGCTGCTGCCGCGCCTCAGTCTTGAATGCCACTCCTAGGATGTGGCAAACAAGAAAACCAGCTGCATAGTGACAGGGCCCAGTGCCAACATGCTCTGGTCTCCAAAGCCAAGTCTCTTGGCATATTGCTTGTAAGGCAGAACAGAGTATCTGAGAGCTCTTTGTGTCTAGAGAAAGGGCTGGGGGTTGGTTGCACCTCCTGCTAACACACACAATCACAGACACACACACACACACACACACACACACAGGCAGGCTACGGGTTTTCTGGCCTTTGGGCTGTCTGGGCTGGGGACCCTCATGGCTGGTGATTCTCCTCCTCCTGCAGGACCGGGTAGATCTGCTGGAGCAGGTAGCCCGGGAGCATGAGGAGTACCAGGCAGGCGTGGATGAGTTCCAACTGTGGCTGAAGGCGGTGGTGGAGAAGGTGAATGGCTGCCTCGGGCGGAAATGCAAGCTGCCTATCACACAGCGCCTCTCCACACTGCAGGTAATCCCCAGCTGTGTCTCAACCAGAGGGACCCTAGGGACACTCACAGAGGGTGGATTCTATGGCATAGTTTCTTTAATAGGACAGTGCTCGGTGCCACAGAATATATAAGTACCCACAGACCCCTGTGAGGAGAAGCGTGGAATCTATTCTAAACGCTTGGGTCCTCAGAGGCTTTATGGAAATCCCTGGCCAGCAGAGCATTTGGAAACCCAGGACCACAGAAGCACGGTCTAGGCCAGTGGTCTCAAATGGGAGGCATTTGGCAGTATCTAGAGACTCCTCATCCCGAGGAAAATCTTTGGCAATGTCCTAAGAGGGTAGAGGGGGTGGATGCTGCTACTGCATCCAGGTGACGGCCAGGGGTGCTGCAAAACCACTGTACAGTGCACAGGACAGCCCCACACAGCACAGAGCGATCCAGCCCACGTGGCAATGGTGCCAAGGGAGAAGAACCGTGGTGCAGGCACCAGGTCTGCCTTCGGGAGAGTGAGCTCCCCACTTTTCACCTGCTGTGTGGCTTTCAGTGAGCCCCTGACTCCCTCCACAAAGTGAGTGGGTAGAATGTCTTTAATAATTCAAGAAGCACTTGATAAATTTTGCCACAACTGTGCAGTACCTGAACTATTTCTTTAATATTTGTATTTAAATGGGCTCATTTTTTTTTTTTTTAAAAAACTGATGATTATTTATTTAGAAAGAAAACATATCACTGTCATAAATGGAAAAGATGGTGCCGATTCCAAATAGGTAGATAACCACACAAATAAATGCAATGAAACCGAATGGAACCATTTGGTTCTATTTGGCTCCACACTGTTTCCAGCTGAAGGTGTGGAAAGGAAGATAAACAAATGTCAGAAAGTGTTCAAGACAGAAGCACCCAACAGAGACTTCCTCCTTGACTTAATCAAATGGCTTGAAAAAGACTAATGGGGAAGGAATCAGGTTCTCAGGTGGTGGGTCCATGCTGCTTAAGGCAGACAGTCCAGCCGCTGGGAAGGCCCCTCTGGCTCTAACACGGGACTCCAGGAATCAGTGTTTTGCAGGGCAGTCCTAGGTCTGCTCTGGAAGATGCACCAACTGTGTTCTTTTTCCCTGCCTGTTTTTCCCTCACCACCGCTACCCTCTTCAGGACATTGCCAAAGATTTTCCCAGGGGCGAGCAGTCTCTGGAGAGGCTGGAGGAGCAGTCTGTGGGCGTCATTTGGAACACCTCTCCTTTGGGTGCAGAGAAGATCACCGGAGAACTGGAAGAGATGAGGAAAGTTCTGGAGAAGCTGCGCGCCCTCTGGGAGGAGGAGGAGGAGCGGCTGCGGGGCCTGCTGCAGTCCAGGGGAGCCTTTGAGCAGCAGATTAAGCAGCTGGAGGCCGAGCTCAGCGAGTTCGGGATGGTCCTGCAGAGGCTGGCCCAGGAGGGTCTGCAGCCTGCGGCGAAGGCAGGGACCGAGGATGAGCTGGTGGCCCACTGGAGACGCTACTCGGTAAGCGTGTCTGGCCGAGTCACGAAGCCCGGGTTGCCGTCTGTGCCCCAGGGTCCTGGCACTCAGACCTCCTCTGTGATGGAGAATCGGGCTGAGCCCTGAGCACACTCACTCGGCTTCTCTAGGATTCTTGATATCTCAGCTCCCTGAACGGGGAGTAGACAAGTTGGATGTTTATCCCCATTTTCTGGAGGAGGAGGCTGGGGCCTGCAGAGATTTTTTCCCCAGCATCCCTAGAGTCACATGGTGGGTCTGTGAAGAAGTAACAGCAGAGGTGGATGAGGCAGCCAGGGTTGGGCCTCAAAGCTAGTCTCTTGCCCAGTGGTGGGATAAGACGTGGGCTTCCTCTGCGTGGAACAGGGAATATTGGATCAGAAGGGGAAACTCTTAGTGTGGAGATGATGGGGAACAAACATGGGCCTCTAGGAGGCCAAGCAGCAGAGGCCCACGTTGGCGGGGGTGCTTCCCAGACCAGACACGACATCCCATCAGAGGCTCCCCACCCCTCCCTGCAGGTATACGCACCGAAGCTTGACTTGTGGATAAAGAGAGTTTTAAAATAATAAGCAACGGCCCTCCCCACCTCTGTCTGTATATATTGTTAACTCAGGATCACGACTCCATGAGAGGCGATATCTCCAAGGGAAGCCATCCCAGATCTTACCTGCACTCTGCCACCGTTGTTATATTTTTGCTCTTCCTTCTAATCTTTGCCCATACGCAACAATATTTTTTGTAGGGAGAAACAAAGGGCACATATTCTTCAGGGCTGTCTTCTCGTTCGATCTTGTAGCAGAACAGGTTACCCGGCAGTGATCACCTTCCTGCAAAGGGAACTGTCCCCCCGCCTTTAGGACTGTGTGCCTCAATGCTCGTTGGAGGTGATATGGCACAGTGGTGAGGGATGGGGACTTTGGGGCCAGACTAGCTGGGTTTAAGTCCTAGTTTCTCTCCTTGCTAACCGAGTGGCTTTGGGAAAATTACTTTAACTTCTGTTATGTGTGAAATGAAGCACTGAGAGGCTGGGAGACTTGCCCGTGGTTATATATCCAATAGGTGGAGATAGGGATTTTAACTCGAACCCAGGTAATCTGACTAAAGGTCATATGCTTCCAACCACTGGGCCAGCTCAGGCTCCCAGTTCTAGAAAATTAACATAGCAAGAGGAACGGACCAGGAATCCAGACATCAGTGGGTCTGTCCCCTCCGGGACTGCAACCCTGGGATGCTCCCGAGAGAGCAGAGGGCTGGGTATGACTTGCGTTATCCCTCTGCTGGCCAGAACAGCACCCTTGTCTGTTTCAGGGAGACTGTTTTCTTCGAACGTTGAAGTCAGGGTGGATTTGTGGCTTATCCAGTGTCAGGTCAGAAATGCAACTACCTGGCAGGGTCCACCCTCCTGAGCCTCCCAAGGAATCAGCAAACTAAACCTGATAACAGTACAGGTCCCAGCACAGCATGTCAGAGCTGGAAGGGATGCGGTCTTATTTTACAAGGAGGGAAGTGAGCCTAGAAAAATGTCATGCTTAGCCAGGCCACCCAGCCATGGGGCAGCGTCCTTCCCAGGAATGAGGGCCCTGGGTGTTCCTGTACTGCCTCAAGTTGATGATGGGCCTTCCAGTGGCCTGGACAGGCCTCTCTCCAGGGCAGCCCCCAGTCTTGCTCACCCTCTGCACCCTTGCCCTTCTTTGGCTGAATTCCTGCTGGCCAGCCAGCTTTCCTGACCACTGATAATGCCGGGCTTCTTCATGAATGATTTTCAACCTGCCAGTTCCCACAAACCAACTGTGTCTGGTCTGTGAAAACTTTCATAGACGTCATTACATTTGCTAACTAATTGAATAGCGATAGGAATATTTTTGAGAAGGAACAGGGCTGGCTGGGCAGATTCGGTGTCCTTCTGCCTACATAGTGGCAGCCGCTATGCCCGTATTGCCCCAGCCACTGCCTAAAATCCTTCCCTCTATTTGTGCTTTCTCCCTTGAGCTTAATCCTCTAAACCCTGTTCATCCGTGGGTCACCCCAGGCTAAGCCTAATTGGAGCTGCCCCCGGTTCCTCGTGAATGAAGGATCGAGCAGAGGTCGGTATAGTCAAGAAGGGCAGAAGCACAAGGCTGCCTCCTGGGATTGAGGGAGCTGGGGATGGGGAGGGACCAATGTACCCCTGCTCTGTACCAAGTGCCTTGTCCATATCACCCGACCCATGTGGTTGGTGAAAGTGACCCCATTTATCAATGAGGAAACAGCCCAAAGTGCATAGCTAGGAAAAGACAGAGGTGGGTCTCCAGGCCAGCTCTGTGTTGTGGCAAAGCCCATGCACTTTCCACTACCCCACCTTGCCTCCTACTGAGCAGGGCCAAGCAAGGGACTGGGAGTCCTGCAGATCACAGTCAAATGCAGAACTTCCAGGACAGCAGGGAAAGGCTGTGTCTGGAGTGTCTGCACACATTGAAGTGAAGCAACTTAGGAATAGTCCACGCAAATATCTTCTAGGCCTGCTGAGAATAATAACCGGGTTCACAGGCACCTTTAGAGGCATGAAGAGGCCCTGCTCTGATGTCGGGTCCACCATCTGCAGACTCTGCAACCATCAGACAGCTCTTAGCCCAAGTTTCCTTGTAAATAACATTGGGACACAGAGACTAGCCTTTCAGGACTGTTGCGAGGCTTAAACGAATGGGACACCCAGGGCGCTCAGCCTGGCATTGGTGTCCCTTGAGTTATTAGTTATTTGTATCATTAGGTTCCAAGCTTTGCCATGGCAATGCTGGGAGGTAGGCGATACAAAAGAGCAGAACTGTAGCCCAGCAACAGACAGGAAAGGCTGAGTTCCAGGTCATGGAGCTGGAGATGGGAGGGCAGGGATTGAGCTCAAGAGTGGGACCCAAGTTCCTGCCCCTGGTGACAGTTTCTGCCCAGCCTGGCCCACCCCCACTGGCCACGGTCACCCCCACTGGCCACGGTCACCCCCCTGCACACACACACTTATCCTGTTGAGGAGCCTCATCCTCCTGCTGTGGTATCGTCATGTGCTGCAGGCAACACGGGCGGTGCTGGCCTCAGAGGAGCCCCGGGTGGACCGGCTGCAAGCCCAGCTGAAGGAGCTCATCGTCTTCCCCCATGACCTGAAGCCACTCTCTGACAGTGTCATCGCTGCCATCCAGGAGTATCAGAGGTATCTGGGAAGGCTGAGGGCGGTGGGACTCAGGGTGTGCTGGAACCCACATTTCCCCATCTCCAGAAGGCAGGCTTGCTTTCTCCTGCAACATAGTAACTTCTAAATCATTCTTTGCACCTCTCAATGACTGGCTTTTGTAGGTTCTCTCTTAGCTCAGACACTGTCCCCTTTGACTGCTCTGCGTTTGCTCCCAGAAAGAGGCCTGAACTTTGCCTTTATCCAGGCTAGTGGTTGAGCCACCCATCCTATCATGACTCTTTATGCAGGTTAGCACTGGGGAGGGGTGATGGCCCAAAGGGAGGACTTTTCAATAGACAGACTCCATTCCCCTGCCTTCGGGTGCTGACTTCAACATCCGAGCTGTCTCCAGACCAGACCAGCCTCCACCTGCCCCCTCAGCCCCTGGGCTCAGGCACAGCAGGACCTCCAGCTTCCTAGTTTAGCAAAAGCAGCAGCCCTGTATCCTCCCTGTGCGGAACTGAGCCAAGTGTTGATTTGAAATCTGTTACCTGTCTTCACTGCATGAGCCTCCGAGGTGTTCTGAACATGGTACAACTGTCCACACAGCTGTCGTGCGTCTCCCACCTCTGCCTGGTGCAGGGAGCTCTTTCAGAATGAACGAAGGGAGCTCCTTCTTTGCCGTGTGTCTCTCATCCCGCAGCATACTCAGGCCCACATCTATAAAACTGGGGCAGTGGCCTGGATCCCCCATGGGATGCTAAAGTAGGGGTAGGACTGGGGTTGGGGGATTGAATTTCCTGTGCATGAAGCAGGCAGGGAAACAGAGTGGCCAAGGGTCTTCCTCTCTCTCTGGTTTCTCTCACTGAGGTTTCAGGTACTGGTTTCTTATGACTTGGTGCTGGACATTGTGTTTGAAAAATTATTTGTAGAAATTAAATGGGCCTAGAATGATGTTATCTTACTCAAGAAAGGGTTTTGTTTGCTTTTGCCAGATGCCTGGGGGCAGGCAGGACTAGTCTAGGGTCTCCATAATTTATCTTCAAGGCTTATATTCCCTGGTCATGCAGCTGGGCTATCCGTCTGTTGGACTGGCTTGCTTGCAGTGCATTTTTATCCTGAGGGCATGGACCTTTGCGATCCCAGCTTCATGTGAGGTGCTGTTTTCAGAATCTGCCCATTTTTGATAGACTCTTATCCTGAGAGGCTGCCAAAACCCTAAGTCAGTTTTGCAGCTATTTCTTCCAGATTGGCAAGCGCCCTCAGGGTCAAAGTAGCTTTGGATGTTAGACTCACATTTTTATTACTTGTTTTTTAAAACTTTGATCAAGCAATTTTTTTGTTTGCCTTTTGTTTTTGTACTCAGTGGGAGGGCCAGTCTGAATTAACTATTCTTCTGTTACTGGAAGAATAATGTCTCCATGTGTCATCTCATCTAACACTTAAAATGATTATATGCGAGGGACACTGTGTTGCCTATTTCATAGGTGAGAAAACTGAGGCTTATTAATATTGAACCACTTAAGGTCACATAGCTGACCTGTCTGGCTCCAAACTCCCAGCTCTTTATAACCTACTATAGAATCAGAGAACACTCATGCCTCTTATTTATTTAAGTATTTATTTTGGAGACAGGTGTTGCTCAGTCACCTAGGTTGGAGTGCAGTGGTGCAATCACAGCTCACTGCAACCTCGAATTCCTGGGTTCAAGCAATCCTCCTACCTCAGCCTCCCGAGTAGCTAGGACTACAGGCCTGCACCATGATGCCTGGCTAATTTTTAAATTTTTTTTTTAGAGATGGGGTCTTGCTATGTTGCTCAGGCTAGTGTCATACTCCTGGCCTCAAGTGATCCTCCTGCTTTGGCCTCCCAAAGTGCTGGGACTACATGTGTGAGCCACCGTATCTTGCCCAGGAATGTAAATTATACAAGAGCCTACAGGTCCCAAGGAGCCCCGGTGTCTGTCCTCAGGAAGACCCCAGGCCTGCTGCTGATGCCTTTTCATAGTGATATTAACCAGAGTCCCTTCCAGCTACATCTTGTGTCTACTGCTGCAGACACTCCCAGCAACTGAGATAGGAGAAGGCCCACCCTGGGAGCAGTGCACCCTGAGCCTCTTGAGGGTCTTGGTGGAGGCCTCATCCCTGGACTGAACCCACTCTCTCTTCTCCCTCGTTTTCTCCCTCCACGCTCCTCGCAGCCTGAAGGGGAAGAGTGCCAGGCTGCGCAATGCCGCGGGGGTGGAGCTGTGGCAGCATTTCCAGCGGCCTCTGCAGGATCTGCAGCTGTGGAGGGCCCTGGCCCAGCGGCTCTTGGAGGTCACTGCCAGCCTGCAGGACCTGCCTTCCCTTCACACCTTCCTACCCCAGATCGAGGTAACCGTGGTCCTGCGAACTGGGTGTGGCTGGGGTGGGCCACTGGCGGGGCATGGAGTTTCAGCCTCTCTCCCAGGGCAAGGCCCATTGCCGGGTCCTCCGGATATCTGGGGAGAGCTCACTGCGCCTGGTCTGCTGAGTCCTGGTGCACAGGGAGTGTCCATGCTTGCTTGTTACAGTGACAGAGGTCGGCTCGGCTCCGGGTTAACCCGGGGCTCCGTAAGGACGCTCCCCGCCCGCAAGCACCTCCCAGGTGGAGGTATCAGCAGTCCTGAGAGAGCAGCGTTTCAGGCCATTGCCTTTACTGCGGCTGCAAGCGGCAGGAAACCTGACCTGACCGGCGGTATCTTAAAACAGGGACATTCAGGCAGTCCAGGGTGCCAGGCCATAGCTCAGTGGTGTCACCAGGACCAAGCCCTTTGTAGGTCTAAGCCAGGTCTCCCTTCATGGCCCCAGCATGGCTGCTTTGGCTCCAAACATGCACTCCCATGAACATCAACTGCGCGGGTGCTCGGGGCTCTCTCCACCTCCACTTCCGCCTTTCAAATCCTCCCGACTCCTGCACACTCCCCTTACATCTCATTGGCTGGTCAAGGTCATATGATTATTCCTGGCCCAATCACCGGCAAGGATGATGGGATTACCGTAACTGGTTTGTACCAGTTAGACTCAGTGCCTCGGAACTGAGCACTTTGTGTCCCAAAATGCTGGTTGTTTGGGAAGAGAGGAGGAGGAATGGCTGTGGGATGAGCAGAAGACAGCATCTGCCATGATGTCCACCATTACGGTGTCCCCATTATGCCTGTACGTACTGTCTCTGACATCATTGAACTCTGAAGTCCATAAAATGATTTTGGGTCTAGAGATTGTTAGACACAAAGAGTGGGAAAAGGCTCAAACGTGTGTGAGATGAATAATCATTCTGATTATAAAAGGCACACCTACTTGGAGAGTGTAAAGGTATGTGAAGAAGAAAACGAAAAGCTCCCATTATCCCACAAGCCACAGGGATGAACATGTTGGGGCAATTTCTCCATCGCTTTTTCTGCCACCTTGGTATTACTGGGGATAACCAATAACCAGGATTGGCCTCTGCTCACGCTTGGTTACACTACTTGGTCATGTGCCTGCATTTTGAAACATCTACCCTTGTGATTTTCCGCTTGGGGCTTATGTTGGGCCAATAATTTCTTTTCTTTCTTCATGGCTTTTTGTTTTGTTTTGTTTTGGAGATGAAGTCTTGCTCTATCACCCAGGCTGGAGGGCAGTGGCGCGATCTCGGCTCACTGCAACCTCTGCCTCCCAGGTTCAAGAGATTCTCCTGCCTCAGCCTCCCAAGTACAGGCATGCACCACCACGCCTGGCTAATTTTTTGTATTTTTAGTAGACTCAGGGTTTTATCATCATGTTGGCCAGGCTGGTCTTGAGCTCCTGACCTCCAGTGAGCTGCCCACCCCAGCCTCCCAAAATGCTAGAATTACAGACATGAGCCACTGTGCCAGACCTCTCTTAATAGTTTTTAAGCTGCAGGGCATGGCCTTTCTTTCCAAGGGTCCAGGGGGCCTCTTCTTCAAGCCCCATGCTCCAAAGGATGGTGGGACATCTTTTCTAGGTACTCCTCAGGGCATCCTGGAGTGAATTTCATATGTGCCACAAACCTCAATTTTAGATCAGAAGATCCCAAATCTGTCCTTTATATCTGATTAAATCCATTTAGATATTTCCATGTGATATGGTCACCAAGAGACAGAAGATTTAATTACAATGTTTATGTATTTGGGATCAAGTTCTATAATTGTATATTCTGATATTCTCACTCCACACATTTGAGCTTTTGTTCTCAGTATCATTTAAAATCATTCAAATGAAAGTGATCATTTTCAATGGCTGGATAATATTCTATTTTGGAGAATGCCATAATTTAATGTTTCCACAATCAGAGGCTTAGGTTGTTGCTGATTTTTTATTGTCATAATTCATATATTTTGAATATCTATGCACTGTAGTTTTATTTCCATTTCTACCATGATCTTCCTTATTTTGCAGATGAGGGATCAGAGCCAGGGAACCTATTTGACAAAAGAGGAAACTGAGGCTCAGAACTGCCCCTAGCTTCCCAACCAGTACCTAATCCAGACTCATGATCTCAACTCCCCAGCCTAAACTCTTAACTCCCATAATATTGTGTCTGAGCTTGGTGAAAAGAGGGTAGAGGTGACTCCCCTACAGTGAGAGGCTTGACCTCTGTGTGGGTGAACACAAGCTAGATGCCCTGGTTTGCAGGTCATGCCAGTACAGCTGTATCAGCTGTGGCTACACTGCCTCTTCCAGAAACACCTACCCTTCAAGGCCTGTCATCAGTACTGCCTTCTCCAAAGTAGTACTCGATTTCCCAAACCAGGAGTGTCCACCTCTGCCTTGAACTCCCACGGCACTAACTCCAGCTTTGCTTAAAGAATGACCACTTTCTGTCTTGTATTGAAGTGACTTACCTGGGTTGGAATCTTTGGTCTTTCTCTCCCAACCCTGTGCCTAGCTCAGGGTTTTAAATCTGAGAGTGGGTTCTCAGCAACATCATCAGGTATAAAATGAAAGAACCGAAGAAATGAAAGGCCAAAGACAAAACCTCTGACTTCCAGAACCCCAGACTCTTGATTAGAAATGCAAGAGGTGCTTACCTGAAACAGCTGGAGAGGCAACAGGAGCCAGAGGCTTGGTTCAGGCTCTAAGAGTTGCAGGGCTTTTGGGGCAAGAAGAATGAGTGTAGGCTGGGAATGGGGTCAGGGAAGGCTTCCTGGAGGAGGTAGGGTCTGGGCTGTACAGAGTTCAGGCCATATGGCAGCCTGCTGCCACTATAGGAGGCTTCTGAGCCCCCTTAGTTCTCCTCTTTGCCTGGCAAACTCCTGCACATCAGCAGTCTGCTGAGTATCACCTCCTCTGGGAAGCCTTCCTGAATTCTCTCTGATCATGCTCCTACAGGCCTGTAGCTCCCTTCAAAATGTCCAAAACACTGTTGCAGGTAGTGCTGGGGGGTGCATCCACTGTTACTGGTGATGGGGGATCACTGAGTAGAGGATCAAGCTGGCTGGGTCTGGGTTCTGCTGCAATGTGGCGGGTCGGTGGTGGGGAGCCAACTAACTGGGAGGCAGCAGCCATTTAGGAGCTGTGTGGTCCAGGTGCCCAAGGCTGAGGGTGCACTGCAGTCAGGGGCAGAGGCCATGGAGAGGAGACAGACTTCTGAGGCCTGTAGGAGGTGGATGTTACTCAGGCTTGAGTATCAAGACAGATGTGGGAGGCGAGAGAGGAATCAAAGTTGACCCCAAAACTCAGGGTCTTGCCAGCGCATGCCTGCCAGCTCATTTTGTTTCTACTTGAGTTTGCTGCTTCCTCAGACACCTGCACAAAGGTAAGCTTCCTAAGCAGTTGCAACCAGAACAGTTGTGCCCCTGGCTGTGTTTCTGAGCTGTGTCCTGCCTGGTCTGTGGTTCACAGAAGCTGTCTCCCACAGGCGGCCCTGATGGAAAGCTCCCGCCTGAAAGAGCCGCTGACAATGCTGCAGCTGAAGAAGGACCTCCTGATTGGCGTCTTTGGCCAGGAGAGAGCCACGGCACTCCTGGAGCAGGTGGCGGGTTCCGTGAGGGACCGAGACCTGCTGCATAACAGCCTTCTGCAGAGGAAAAGCAAACTGCAGGTGTGCAGCACGGGGCGTCTGCTCAGGACTCGGCCTGGCCACGGGGCTGGAGCACCCACTGGGGAGGCAGACGGCCCTGTGTTCTAAACTCAGCTCTGCCACTTGCCACTGTGTGGCCCTGGGTGTATCCCTTTGTCCCGGACAATCTCAGGCTCCTCGTGTGTAAACTGGGTAGGATTCTTGCATGCTCCCTCTAACTGGCTTCCTAGCCACCAGCTCTCTGCCTCCCAGCCCTGTCCCCAAACCTCCTGCAATCAAATTGAATCCAGTCCAGTCTTCTGCAGAGAGTGACCGGAGGGTCAAATAAGAAAATGGCGATAAAAGCCCTTGTAAAATTTAAACCACCCTGGAGCTGGAAGCTCATATTAGCGACACATTTCAAAATGACTACTCTACATCAATGACACGGCCTGGCACGTTGTGGACAGCTTATTCTTTTAGGTAACAAATGTTTGCTGAGCGTCTAATGATGACGACAGTAATAACTATGATCTATGGGGCACTGGCTATGGGCCAGGGCGTTGCTAAGAGCTCCAGATCCTTGATCTTATCGAATCCACGTAAGAGCACGATGAGGGAGGCACTGTTATTTTTCTTGTTTTACACACGAGGACACTGAAGCAGGATGGTCAAGAAGGTGGCTCATGGTCCATATGGGGTACAGCCAGGACCCTGCCCAGGTACAGCCAGGACCCAGTCTGTGATTTCAGCTCCCATGCATGTTCCCTCCATCTCCAGGCCTGGTTCAGTTCTAGGAGCTGGGGGATGAAGAAAGGAAGCCAAAGTCTTCACCCTCAAACACTCACAGCTTGCTGGTGGACACAAACAAATAGGCAATTACTGGACGACATCCAAGTGCTGCTTTACAGCAAGCGTTGGCAGACTGTTTCTGTGAAGGGCCAGATAGTGAAGGTTTTAGAGTGTGCAGGGCAGGCCGTCTCTGTCGCAGCTCCTCAGTGCCACCACTGCAGCATGGACACAGCTGTAAATGTGTGCGCATGGCTGGGTTCCTATAAAACTTTATTTACAAAAACAGGCCTCCTGTGGGGTTTGGTCAGTGGGTGGAGGGGTGTAGTTTGCCCCAGTTCTAGAGGGATGTGGCCAAAGTCTTCTGTGAGGACAGTGTGGTGACTCTAAGGAGAGGCACCCAACTCCATCAGGGCTCAGGGGAGGCTTCCTGGAGCGGGTGGTGCCTGGTGAGCATGAGCTGGCCGAGACCAAGAGCAGCCTGGCTGCCCAGGTCAGGTCTCACAACACGGTGCCCGTGAGGAACGCTCTTAATGCGCACGCTGTCCTGTGTGTTTGCAGAGCCTGCTCGCTCAGCACAAAGACTTCGGAGCGGCTTTCGAGCCCCTGCAGAGGAAGCTCTTGGACCTCCAAGCCAGGGTCCAAGCTGAGAAGGGGCTTCAGAGGGACCTTCCTGGAAAACAGGCCCAGCTCTCAAGGTTACAGGTGAGGGGTCTGCAAGGCCTGAATCAGTCCTGCCCAGGCGCTCAGCGGCACCTGGAAGCAGCTTCTTCGTCCAGCAGTAACCAGCAAAGCAACAGCTGCCATGAGCCAGAAATGTAGACCCTTAGTTGAGATCTGACCTTTCATCTCAACAGAACCTCTGCTTGTTTATCTGATGGTTCCTGACCTCAGACAACTGAGTCTTGAGCTCAGCAAAACGACAAGCTGTCTTTTTGTTTACTCCTCAGTTCCAAAGTCTAACATTGGTATTTGTTTTTAGAATTGCTTTGCTAAGTATTCTTAATGAGCCAGGTGTTCAGTTAAACCAACTTTGGGATTAAGAATAAATGTTCTGAAGCGTGGACTGTAAGTAGGCTGGCCGTTGATCATTGTTGGCTGGATAAGGAACTTGCTGGTTTTGAAAATGCATGTGATACAATAGTTCTCTTTTGAAAACCCAAGCACAACTCCTACACAAATTGAGAGCGTTCTCTGGAAGACATTAAAAATGGTGCATTTTAGGCCAGGCGTGGTGGCTCACGCCTGTAATCCCAGCACTTTGGGAGGTGAGCAGATTGCCTGACTTTAGGAGTTTGAGACTAGCCTGGGCAACATGGCGAAACCCTGTCTCTACTTTAAAAAAAAAAAAAAAAAAAAAAGCAACAAAAATTAGCCAGGCGTGGTGGCGGGAATCTGTAATCCCAGTTACTCGGGTGGCTGAGGCACTAGAATCACTTGAACCCAGGAGGTGGAGGTCGCAGTGAGCCTACATTGTGCCACTGCACTCCAGCCTGGGTGACAGAAGAAGACTCTGTCTCCAAAAAAAAAAAAAAGAAAAAAAATAGTGCATTTTGGGTTTTAAAACTAAAATTGGGCCGTGTTTCTTCACAATGAGAGGTGGTCGCCAACTATGAGTCCCGATGTGAGCTTGTCCCCGGAGATGCCATCTGGCCTGTAGCAGAGTTTAATTTCATGGTGTCCCAGAATATTGGTGTCTGATTTTTAAAATCTCTCCAGCCCTGAGAGTGGGCCCATCAGACCAGCCATGTGGTTGGTACTTCCGCTGGTATGAAAGAGCCGCACCCAGGCTCTCCCACTCCCAGCCTCCGCCCTGATCAGCCACCCTGAGGGAGGGAGAGGTGGGAAGATTAGCCTACCTGTTCCCTTCTCTACTGCAGGGGCTGCAGGAAGAGGGGCTGGACCTGGGGGCACAGATGGAGGCTGCGAGGCCTCTGGTCCAGGAGAATCCCAACCACCAGCACAAAATGGACCAGCTTTCCTCCGACTTCCAGGCCCTGCAGAGGTCTCTGGAGGTAAGGGGCTGGCAGAAGGGCCTGTGCTTTGACAGTGAGCAGACCCCTGTCATCCAACACGCCTGGGGCCTTTCTCCCCATTTCCTGCCTTTGTTCCTTCTAACCTATCTTTTTTCTTTCTCCATTTTTTCTTACCTTCCTCATTCATACAACAGATAATTATTGAGCACCTCCCATATGCCAGGCAGTGCTCTAGGTGGCCCTAAGGATGGAGGTAGCAGAGCATGACTGCCCAGGCCCCTGCTCTTCTGGGAGTTACGCTCCAGTTGGGTAGATGGACAATTAATCATCAAGCAAACAAGTCAATGCACAATTACCTATCGAGATTAGGGCCATGAGGCAAAAGAAGAGAGCAGGCCGCTGGAATCCTTAGGCAGCCCAGAGCACAGGCAGCCTTGGGTCCCCTGCAGCCTGCACTAGGCCTGGAGGCCACAGAGCTTCGTCGCCAGTGCCCTCTAGTGGCCACCTTGGCTCTTTCTAGGGTTCACCCAGGATTCAGTCCCCTTCCTGCAGTGGGGATGGAACTCAAAGCTCCTTCAAAACTGCCCTGAGGACAAGTGGAAATGCAGACTCCAGGCCCCACTGTGACACTGATTCAGATGCAGTCCTGGGTCTGCCTTTGTAACAAGCCCTGAGGAGTGTAAAGCAGGATCTCTGGCGCTCATACCTCAAGAAAAAACCCAGTGAGGCAGTGAGAGCTCTGCATCCTACCTGACTTTGCACACCCTATTCCATACCAAATATTCCTAACCTCCTCTTTACACTCCTGCAATTCATAGGGAATATAAGTTACCCACCCAGGAAATAGAAAAGAGAAATCAAAGGAAATAATTATCATACAATATTGTCCTTCAATATGTGAGTACTCCCAGATGGCCACACTCAAGACATAAGGAGGGGGTCAGAACGTGCCCTCCCTGCATGACAGCTATCAATGTCATGTCAAGTGGCACAGCCATCACGGCCTTTAGTGATGTGATTTTCTGAAATGTGAACAACGCTTGATAGAACTTTGATCAAAGCCAAGAGCAGTCTCCCGTCCACTTACACAAAGGGTGCAGCTCTAGAGAAGTCAGTACGTTTGTTAAAACTACAAAACCTTCTTTGTGTTTGTGTGTTGATTGGAGTGAGAGTCTGAGCTCAGGTCATGACAAACAGGTTTTTTCCTGCTGTGGATATTAGGAGGACATGAGAAAATCGAGTGGGATGTGAGCCAACTCTGCTTTGGTGGACTGTCCGCCCCAGGGTGGAATGCGAGCGCCCATCCCTCTCACTCCTCCTAGTGTCACCCTCACCACCTCTATCTCAGCAACCGCAAACCCTCCCCACCAGTTTCCGGGAAATAAGGCACCACCTGTGGAGACCCGTTGGTCTAAGTGACGATTGATGTCTGGATGAATTCATTTAGTTACATTCAATAAACTAGCAGTGAGTAGTTTCAAGGTCGAGGCAGTAGAGAAATAGGACACACTGTCCTCACTCCTCAGGAGCCCATAAAAACCCACAGAAGCAGCAGAAGTCTCCTAATACCTCCATCCAAATGATGGGCTCGATTAGTCGTTATAAGAAGCAGCATTAACTGAGCATCACTAGGTGTTGCAAACGATGAGATTCCAACTCTTATTGATTGTTTATATTCTTCTTTAAAGAGAAATTGCCATTTTATTATTTTGGTACCCAGGGCTTGTTAACCTAATATGTCCTTCCCTACAGCGAGGCAGTCTCTGCATCCCCCTGGGGGGCAGGTATCCCATGTTGGAGATCATAGCTCTATGCACGGGAAGCCCTTGGAGGCGTCTGGTCTAATGTTGGCACACAGGGACCAGGAGGGGACAGCGGTAGGGACAACTCAGAGAAGTGGAGTTTTAGATAACTTCTCAGGCCCTCATTGATGGTTCACTGAGGACACAGGCAGCAGTCTCCCCAGCCCCTGGTATGGGCCTGGTATCCAGCGGTCTCAGCCAGTGTCTGTGGAATGCAGAAGGCAGGGCCTATGGTAGCCCCGCAGAGAGTCATGACCTCATCCAGCTAACACAGCTGGAATGGGAACGGCAGGCCCTGGGGTCTGACTGGTTCATGGCGGGCTATGGAAAGAAAGCTCCAGGGTCTCAGGCTGGGTGGTCAGGGGCATAGAGAATGGCTGCCCTTCTGGGGACAGTGTCTGCCTTTCCTGGGGACAGAGAGCTGAGCAATAGATTGGCCCAGGAAACAGTACTCAGGGAAAAAGAACAAAGAAAGACTAAATGTGAATATCTGAGTGTGCAGCTCGATGAATGTTTTAAAAATTAAATGCATCTGTGTTACCAGCACACAGATAAAGCACAGAATATTACCAGCCTCCCAAAGCCCCTGTGCCTGTGGTCATGCCCAGCTCACCATTCCCGACCCTCAAGGGCAGCTCTGACTTCAGGCTTCCCGCAACACAGCTTGGGTTTGTCTGATGTTATCCTTCATTTCAATTGAATTGGACAGAATGTTTTCTTTTGTGCCTGGCCTTTAGCTCTCCACATGATGGTTGTAAATTCATCTACTGTATGGCATGTGGTTATAGACTGTTCATTCTTGCTGCTGTAAAACATTCCATTATGTGAATATATACCACCGTGTATTTATTCATTCTACTCTCGATGGGCACTTGGATAGTTTCCAGCTTGCGGCTGTCACATATATGCCCCTGGGTGAGGATACGTTCCCATTTCCGGGGCATGCACCGGGAATGGAATGGCTGGGCCATCAGCTACAGCCACATTCTGTTTGGGTAGATTTTGACCCATGGTTTCCACAAGTGATTGGGCCAATTTACGCTTGGATCAGTGGTGGACAGGAGATCCGATTTCCCCCACCCGCACCTAGACTTGGTCGTTTTCCTAAAAGTAAGACAGACTTTAAACCAGTTGATCTTCCCAGGGTAAATTCCTTGTGCTGTGTGGAGGGAAGGGCCAGCCCAGCCTCTTGTGGTGCTACTTGGTGGGGAGCCCTGGGGTCCCCAGCAGGTGTGAGAGCCCTGCAGGGTGGAGGTGGTGCGGGGGTCTCCCCCTCGGACAGCACTCAGGGCGCCCTGGGCTCCCCGGGCTATGCTGCAGGACCTTGTGGACAGGTGTCGCCAGAGCGTGGAGGAGCACTGCACCTTCAGCCACCAACTGCTGGAGCTGCGGCAGTGGATCGCCGTGACCACGCAAAAGCTGGAGGCACAGCGGGGAGAGGCTGGCCCGGGGGATGCTGAGTCTCAAGAGGCCGAGTTTGAGGTAAGGCGGTGGTTCCCTCACCCACTTCCCAAAGAAGCAGCCTTGACAGGCCCACGTTCCCACACCGAGGAGCAGAAACCTCCCTCCACCTTCACCGTGTATGTTTCTGTGTGTCTGTGTGTCCTTTAGAGGCTGGTGGCAGAATTCCCGGAGAAGGAGGCCCAGCTGTCCCTGGTGGAAGCGCAGGGCTGGCTGGTGATGGAGAAATCTTCTCCGGAGGGTGCTGCTGTGGTGCAGGCGGAGCTCAGGGAGCTGGCAGAGTCATGGCGGGCCTTGAGGCTGCTGGAAGAAAGTCTGCTGAGGTGAGAGTGCCTCCTAGGCTCTGAGCCTTGTCTGGGACACCGCCTCTGCCCACTCAGGGGCACTCAGGTGCTCGTGGAGCAGATGGCCAGGGTGCTGCCCAGTGTGGAGCCAGGGGCCTTGGGCACCTTCACACTTTGGCCCAGTTGGCTATTCGAGCAGGAGCAGGAGGAGCCAGGAAGTGTCCCCATCTTGGGAGTTAGCCTCCAGTCCATACTGGTTTGAGCCTCAGTTTCCCCATCTGCATCAGTGGGCATATGCACCTTCATGACAGGTTACTGTGAGTTTAAAGTCAGAAACCAGATGTGAGCATGCCTCAGGAACATTCTGACAAACTTCAGTGGGGGTCGCTGACTCGTCACCTGTGCTTCCCCAATTCTATTACTTTTCCCATGTCCTGGTGGGTTCCCACCACATCTCTGCATTGACTGGGCTGAGTTTGTCTTCTCAGCCTCATCAGAAACTGGCACCTGCAGAGGACGGAAGTGGATTCAGGGAAGAAAATGGTTTTCACCAACAACATCCCGAAGTCAGGATTTCTCATCAACCCCATGGATCCTATTCCCAGGCATCGTCGACGGGTGAGTCTGTGTAGCAGGGCTGTGGGAGAAGGGGCCAGGCCCCAGGTCAAGAGATGGGTAGGGGTTTCCAGCACAGGCGCCTCCCTGTCTGGGGCAACATGCTCTGCTCTGAGGACTTGGCCACATCCTGTCTCATTTGAGCCTGCCCCACCTGTGGCCCAAAGAGCAATTGATCCTGCTCCACAGAGGACCTCAGAGATCCCAGAGTCTGCAGAGCCAGGCTAGCAACAGCCTCTGCAGGGAAGAGAGTGTCGGGGCTGAAAGCTTCCTGCTGGCCCCGGATTGGAAAACAAAACCGTACAAGATGGGAATATTTTTGTGCCATGTTTCATCCATCCCTTACTGCCCTTAAGCAAACTTGAGCTTTGTTGAAAAGGAAGTTACTCCTTGTTATTCAAATACATCAAATTATTCATTTTCCCATTCATTCTTTCATTCACGCCTCCATTTGCTGAGTGCTACTTTGTTCCAAGGACTGTGCTCAGAGCTAGGATACAGCTGTGAGTAGCACTTCTGACCCTCAGAGAACTTGGAATCCAATGTAGAGCTTTTCAGTGGGCACACAGCCTTGTATTAAAATGCAGGTTCTGGGCTGGGTATGGTGAGCTACACCTACAATCCCAGAACTTTGGGAGGCCGAGGCAGGAGGATTGCTTGAGGTCAGGAGTTTGAGACAAGCCTGGGCAAGATAGCAAGACCCCATTTCTATAAAAAATATTTTAAAATTAACTGGACATAGTGGTGTGCACCTGTGGTTCCAGCTACTCAGGGGCCTGAGGTGGGAGGATCACTTGCACCCAGGAGTTTGAGGCTGCAGGGAGCTGTGATTGTGCCACTGCACTCCAGCCTGAGTGACAAAACAAGACCCCATTTCAATCAATCAATCCATCAACAAAAAATAATAAAATAAGATAAAATGCAGACTCTGAGTTAGTAGATCTGGCTGGGGCCCACAATTCCATTCTGCATTTCTAACAAGCTCTTGGGATAGGCCCGTGCTGCTGGGTCTGGGAGATACTCGCCTCTGTGAGCCACTAGCAGTAGCACCTGCAGGGGAGAGAGCATGGGGGCTGGACACTTCCTCTGGCCCCAGAATGGAAACTAAAATGAAACAAGATGGGTCTATTTTTGTGCCATGGCTATGTTTTGTAAAAGAAAAAAAAAAAGAACTAACTACATTGTTTCACCCATCACTTTCCCTTACTGCCCTTAAACAAACTGAGCTTTGTTGAAAAGTAAGAAGCAGGGGAGTGGCATCCACAGGCAGTTAAATAAGGGTTTCCAAAAAAACAACAAAAAAAGTGGTGCACCTTGGCAGACAAGCCAGAGGCCACGGGAGTCTGCAGCAGTTCCCAGGTCTAGGACAGGAAAGCCCCTCCTGGAAGATAAGAAATCTCAGCTGAATATTCACAGCTGAGTGGCAGTGAGGAGAGGAGGGAGGGAGGTGTGTTCCCAGTAGAGGAGACAGTGTGTGTGAAGAGCAGAGGGAGAAATTCGAGTGCCAGTTTGTGGGGCCAAGACACGCCTCCAGGCCCAGGCTCAGAGGACAGGGAAGGCAGCACATGCAATGGAACCAAGACTCCCGGGTCACACTGAGGAGGAGTGAAAGGCACCAACGTGGATAACCAGAAAGTTAGCCGAATGGGCTTGCATCATAGACAGATCACTCTAGTCATGGAGCCCCAAGGGGACAAGCATGGTGGAAGGGTGACTATTTGTATAGCCACCCTGGTAAGAGGTGGCGGTGGCTTCTGTCACCTCTCAGGGGACCAGAGAGGGGACAGCGAGGAATGTTCTTGGTCCCTAAATGTGGCCATGTTCAGTAGAGATTCATTGTTCATCCCCCAGGCCTCTCCTGTCACCATTTTGGGCATCTTGTCCTCGTCCCCGCCCCTCTGCCTCAGGTGGAATTCCCAGGACACACGGCCAGGGGGCCTCTTTCACCTCTGACGCTTTGGCCGTGTGTGATCCTACAGGTAAATCAGGGGCCTCTTTCACCTCTGACGCTTTGGCCGTGTGTGACCCTACAGGTAAATCTTCTCCAGGAAGAAGACGGGAGCCATGAAGATTTCTCCCAGCTCCTGAGGAACTTTGAGCAGTGGTTGCAGGTGGAAAATTCCAAGCTGGTTAGAATCATCGCAATGAGGACTTCTACAGCCGAGGACTTGAGGACCAGAGAATCAAAGCTGCAGGTCTGTTCCCCAGGAAAGGTCCCTCATCCATAGGGTTTGCACCCACAAATGCATTTGCCACCAGGGGGCTCTTCAAAAGAAAGAGCACACCCACAGTTTGTGAGCTGTTCCGCCGCGTGTATAGATAATGGCTTTTATACTTTTTTGGTTCAAAGATTTTAGAACTTTTTCTGGCATTCATTCATGTATTCAGCATGCTTATGTATTTCCCTACTTGGAAAATATCACCACTAATCACTTGATTCCTGTGTCACTTAGCTATTGCTGTGTGACAAACCATCCCAACAGTTTGTGGCTGAAAGCAACAACTAGGTATTTAACCCGTGGTTCAGAAGCACAGCAAGTTAGGCTGAACCAACCGGGCAGGGCCTGCAGTCTGTCTGCTATCAGTTGTAGGTCAGTTGGGTGTCTCTACTTCTGGGGGCTAGTGGGCTCTTAGAGATGAGAATGACGTGGACTACACATCTCTTATACTCCTGTGGCACAGCCTGGACTTCTCATAGCAGAGGCAGGGCGGAAGAGAGCAGTAGCAGCAGGCAAAGACTTTTGAGGTCAAGACTAGGAGCCAGCATAACATTCATTCCCCTGCATTCTGTTTGCCAAAACCAGCCTAGAGTCAAGGAAAGCGAAAGAGACTCCACCACTTGATGGAAGGGATGGCAAAGTCATATTGCAGTGGGTATGGATATGGCTGTGGGGAGGGAGATGGGGAAAGTCACAGCCATTTTTGCAACTGTACTACCACTTCTCTTCTGTCTTCTTCACTCCCACATCTAATCAGTTGCTACAGCTCCTTGATTCCACCTCCTAGATATGTTGTGTTTCTCTTACCTCGCACTACCATTGTCTGAATTTAGGCACTTACCATGTTTGGCCTTGACTATGGCTGTAGCCTCCCAGCTGATCCTCCCTTCTTCCTGTTGGGTTCCCATCTAGGTCATGGCTCATTCTGCAGCCAGAATGACAAATATGACCCTGTCCTCCCCCTAATGAAAACCTTTCACTGTGGAGTTTAACCCCTGAGTTTATTACTCAAGGCGTTTCTCAACCAGGCTCCAGCTCACTTCTGTTTCCCTATTTTTCTGCAATTTTAGGTTTGAATTTCTTTTTATTTTTCTGGGTTGGGATTCATTTGAACTCCCGAATCTGTGGTCTAGGATCTTTCTGGAAAACTCTCTAACATTATTTTTTTTCTCTTAATTCCCAAACTTGTTACTTGTATTTTTTTCTACTAACAATATTTCTTAAAATATTACCTCTGCCTTGTTCCCTTTCTCCTCTCCTATTGTGATATCATTTAAACATATGTAACTACTTCTCACTGTGTGCTTTATGTCTCTTACTCTCTCTTGTGTATTTTTCATCCTTTTCTCTCTTCGTGTTGCATTCTGGATAGTTTTTCTGATCCGTCTTTCAGTTTACTAATTCTCTCTTTAGCTGTGTTTCATCTTCTGTTACACATGTCTGTTGAGTTCTTAACTTTTGTTGTTGTAGTTATCAGTTCTAGAACTTCTTTTTGGTACTTTTAATAATCTAGGCTATCATTTTTCTTCCCTTTATTTTTTTTTCTTATTTTATAACTCCCGTCTTAACTGAAACTCTATCATTTTTCATACTTTCCAGATGCTTGCTTAAATTTTTAAGCCTATCTTTTAATTATTTGAACATAGTAAACCTAACTTTTTACAGATTGTGTCTAATAATTCTAATATCTCAAGGCATTTTATGAATATTTCTGTTGTATATTATTTCTGCCTGTTCTTACTCTTGGTTTCTTGTGTCTTTGTGTGGCTGCTTTGTGTGCTAGACATTGTGTTTGCCAAAATATGTATAAGAGTGATTTAAGATTTAGGAGAGGCCGGGTGTGGTGGCTCACGCCTGTAATCCCAGCACTTTGGGAGGCCTAGGTAGGAGGATCACCTGAGGTCAGGAGTTGGAGACCAGCCTCAACATGGAGAAACCCCGTATCTACTAAAAATACAAAATTAGCCAGGCATGGTGGTGTATGCTTGTAATCCCAGCTGCTCAGGAGGCTGAGGCAGAATTGCTTGAACCCGGGAGTGGAGGTTGCAGTGAGCTGAGGTCGCACCATTGCACTCCAGCCTGGGCAACAAGAGCGAAACTCCGTCTCAAAAAAAAAAAAAAAAGAAAAAAAAAAAAAGATTTGATTTAGGATAATCTTTTCCTCCAGAGTCTATTTCATTTGCTACTGCCAGGCAAGTAGGGACCTTTCGTTCTGGCACCACTAAATCCAAGTTCAAGACTTGAGTTTCCCTGGTCTACTAAGATGACTTTGAACTGGGCTACAAGTCTCCACAAGGTCCAGGTTTACTTCTGGTTCATTTTTTGCAGGGTGAAGGCTTTAGGAGCTCAGCAAAAGGGTGAATGAATCCTATCAGAATCTCCACCTCGGTAGGGCCCAGACTTTGACTTTTGTCTCCCTAGCCCAGTGAGGCTGCCAAAAGCAAAGGTGTTTTACAGCTATTCCTTCCAAATTGGCAAATGTTCTATGGACAAAAGCCGGTCTGAACACAGCGCTGACTGCCCTGGGTTTTCATTCTTTCCCAAGTTGTGTCCCGGTGTGCCTCACATTCTTCTGTTAATACTTTTATGCCTTTAAAATGCTTTAAATATTTTGTCCTTAGTGAGAGGTTTGGTACCAGTTATCTCATTGGCCATTACCTGGAAATCTTCCTTGCCTGCCTCTCCCGTCTCATATTTGGCTGCTCCTCTCACTCCCCTCAACGCACCACCACCCGATTCCAGCCATACCAGAAAGGACTTTCTGTTCCTCAAGTTAAACCCCCTTGCTTTTGTACAGCATACGTTCCTGCGGGCTCTGAGAAGCTAAGCAAGGTGTCGCATATTACATGCTAGTAGGATGGGGCAGAGTCAGGATCCAAAGCCAGGACTGAAACCTGGGCTCCCGGATTTATAGCCCCGCTCCTACTGCCCCATCACACCACCTCTCTGGAGTCCTGAGAATAAAAGGTTCTATCCCAAGGGAACACAGTACTTATATTTCCTGAGAAAAATCTGCACATTCCAACCCCACTCTGCCAGGCTCATAATGCCAACAGAAAGACCTGTTCACAATGACAACTTTTAGAATGAGGCAAACTCTAGTCAAGCCGTCTGGAGGACTTGGTCCTGGAATGTCAGAGTTGGAAGTAACCACTGGAGGTCTGCAGCCCAGCTGCCCGTTCCGTGCAGGAGGCCATCCTGTAACATTCCTGAGAGCAAGGGCTAGGCCTTGGCTTGAATTGCACAGATGGGAGTCCCACTTTATGGATTCTGTCTGCCTCCTCCCTTCCTACCTGTCTGTTGAGTGAAATTTGATGGACCCATCCTTACCAGCCAGGTGGGGCAGTCTGGGCCATTTGGAAACCCCACCATGACGCTGCTGCTTCCCCCAGGAGCTGGAGGCTCGGGTGCCAGAAGGTCAGCATCTCTTTGAGCATCTCCTTCGTCTCGGGCCAGCAAGGGGGACCTCGGACAAGCTGGAAGATCTGCGCTACCAGTGGATGCTGTACAAGTCCAAGCTGAAGGACTCCGGCTACCTGCTGGTAGGTGCCAAGGATGTGCAGGTCCCAGATTCCAGGGACAGGACTGTAGCTGGGCCTGGATTTGCCTGAGGATACAGTGCTCAGCCCGCATCCACCCTGCCCTGTGCCTTCACACACCAGGCAGAGATGACTACTCAGACAGAGGACAGGGACACCCAAGAGTCTCGGACACTTGACTCAGGTGATGCCATTTGGCCATCCAACCACCTCATGAGGCTGGAGTCCCAATCAGGGCAGCAGTGACGTTGTAATTAACGTGTAAGGAGTGCTTTCTACCTCCCAAGCCGAGGGCTCTGTGTGCACTGTTCCCATACAGTCCGTATGGTTCCCCTCTGCTCAAGTCATTGTATCTCCAGCCTCCAGACAGGGAGCTAAGACTCCAAGCAGTGAAAAAACTTGCCCAAGGCTCTATGGGTGGTCAGTGGCAGAGCCAGCCTGCAGACACACCCTTGTGTTGTAGGCGTGACCTTGGGAAGCACTGGAGTGGCATCAGGAGCCCTGGGGTCCAGCCCCATGTCTCTAACTTGCCCTGTGTCTGAGTTGAGCAAGCACCTTCCTTTTTGGGGGCCCCTGTGTCTCCTCACACAAAATAATAATAATAATAGCAAAACAGTAATAATCATAACCTTTGCTCAATGCTATGTCCTCTTAACAGCCCATTAAAGGAGGTGCTGTTATATGCCCTGTGAACCAATGAGGAAACTGAGGCACAGAGGTTAAGTTTCCTAGGTCCCTAAGTCTGAAGAGGGTGGTGAGATGGCCCCTAAGGGCCCTTTCAGCCTCAGACCCCAGGCCCAAGCTGGGCACCCCAGGCTTTCCTGGCCCTGTAGCAGCCGAGATGGCCGCTAGGTGTCACCCTAGCCCAAGCCAGGTCGGCCATGGCCCCGGCCGGCCTTGGCCACCGCCTTTCCAGACAGAATCCCAGCTGGGCCTGAAGTGTGTTAAAAAGCTCATTAAATCGAATCACCTGCTGGCTCAGGCTGTCCAGATGACCAGAAGTTTTAAAGAAACACTCCCCTGACAAAATGAATATTCCATTACAGGCTCTGTTGGGATTTAAGTTTCACTCACTTAACTTATTTTTTTTCCCCCTTTTCCTCTCCTTCCCTAAAATAACAGACACAAAGTTCTCCAGGGGAGCCGACTGGATTCCAAAAGGTACAGTGTCTGCCATCTGCTCCACACAGCTAGCGGGCAGGGTGCCTAGAGGGTTGGTGGGCCCGTGACACTGGGGCAGGACTCGTGGGCTTTCTGGAAGGTTCCAGGAAGACCAAAGAACATTTATGGGGGATCAACTCTGGGCTGCGCTGTGCTGGGGCCCAGGATTCTTGGTCTCAAGAAGCCCCAGGCTCGGGGGGAAGCTGGCCAGGGTGTGCAGAGTCCTCTGCTGTGACAGGCACATAGCAGAGAGGGGATCTTGGAGTTCACCCTCCCAAATCAGGACACGCTGGGGAGTGGACAAAGATGCTACCAGTGATTACGCTGTGACAGCAGGTGTGAACCGGGACTGTCCTAGGAAACCTGGGTTGTTGTGGGCAAACTGGACGGTGTGGCCACCCTGGTGGTGGAGGGTCTGCGGGGCTCAGTAGGGACAGGAGAGGGAGGGATCATGCCTTTGAGTTCTACTAGGCAGGTGTTTCCACTTACCCTATGGAGCCATGCTCAGAGTCACTCCCAGGGCCTTTGCAGGCCGAAGCAATAACAATAACAGCAGTAATAATGACAACAATGAGAAACAGGTATGATTCTTACTCGAGATGCTATGTATTGGCCATCCACTGTGTGTGTAAGGAACTGCTAAGTTGTGGTTAGGGCCCCTCCTGTAACTCTCCCAGTGACACCCAGGAGGCAGTATAATCTCAACTTTCAGCGTGAGGAAACAGAAGGGGCAAGCCTGAAGTGACTTGTTCAAGGAAGGCCTCAGCCCCTCAGTGGTCTCTGGCCTCTGAATCCAAACCCCATGTTGTTAACCTTCCACGTTGTGACTTGCAGAAGACTTCCCTGGGGCCCGGAGTGTCTCCCCATTTCTGGAAAAGCCAGGTGTAAATCGGTGTCCCCTGGTGCCACTGTTTCCAAAAGAACGAATGCTGTGTTTTCCTGCTAGGCACTGGCCCATACTGACACAAGCCTCCAGCGTGCTCTGACCCACAGCGCTCTGAGTTCCTTGAGATCTCTCATTCTTTGGAATCTGAGTTTCCTAGAAATCTGTGATTTCTTCTTGGCCTCAGGCTGGTGTCATAAGTAACATCTCTAGGAGAGTGGATGACACATGGACTGGGCGGGGCAGTCACAAAATCAAGGCCGGGCTCTGGGCCCAACACCAGCTGGCTTTGTGGCTTTGAGGGAGTTGTTTGGCTCCTTGGGGCTCACTTTCCCCATCTATAAAATGGAATTTTCTTTTCTTTTTTTTTTTTTTTTGAGATGGAGTCTCTTGTCACCCAGGCTGGAGTGCAATGGCATAATCTCAGCTCACTGCAACCTCTGCCTCCCAGGTTCAGGCACTTTTCCTGCCTAAGCCTCCCAAGTAGCTGGGATTACAGGAATGTGCCACCACGCCCAGCTAATTTTTGTATTTTTAGTAGAGACGGGGTTTCGCCATATTGGCAAGGCTGGTCTCGAACTCCCGACCTTAGGTGATCCACCCTCCTCGGCCTCCCAGAGTGCTGGGATTATAGGCATAAGCCACTGTGCCTAGCCTAAAATGGAACTATTAATGGCAACCTTATTTACTTCATGAACTTAGTTTGAAGATCATGTGAACTGCCGTATATGAAAGTAGAAGTGCTTCTGATCACTTAAACCCTGCCCCCAACACACCCCAGTTTCAAATAACAAACAGACTTCTCACGAGATAGGGAAAATCATCAAGAAAGGACAGGTGTTCTACACAGGCCGGCCGGGTGGGTCCTGGTGGGAGACAGGGGACCCAGGACCTGGTGTCCAGACTGACTCTAGCTCCTGCACTTCAAGCCTCTCTCTAGTTGGAAGCCCCTACCTATGCAGCCCCCAGGCCAGGATCCATGTGGGTGTCAAGTCTGGGCCCCCTAGTGTCTAGCCATGGTGCCTAGCACATAGTAAGTGCTCACTAAATGTTTTTGAGTAGTGACATTTGTAGGCTGACACCAGCCCTCCAGTGCAGGCTCAGGTTCCTACAACCTGTAATTAATGTGTTACTGTGGTATGTTCATAGCCATAGTGTTCATTGCTATCTCTACGTCGCCTGCCTGCCTGCCTTCCTTCCTTCCTTCCTTCCTTCCTTCCTTCCTTCCTTCCTTCCTTCCTTCCTTCGTGCTGACTTTGTGCCAAGCTCTGTTTTAGGCACTGGGATACATCAGTGAACAGAAGAGCAGCGACCTGTCCTGTAGACTGTACATCCTGCTTGGGTGGAGAGAGGGGGATGGGGCCAGAGCACACGTGTCCAGCTGATGTTTCTCAGTAGCACAGTGGGAATCTCTGGATCAGAGAGCTCTGAAGGTCACACCACTTGGGATCCATGTAGCCCTGAGGTGTATCTTGTCTATGACCAGAAGACGTTGGGCACAGCTTGGTGGGGAAAGCAGGAAAACTCTAAATGACTAAAGAATCTGCTTACTTGGGCTATGTTTAAAACAATTGGATGTGTAAACATTTGTCCTTGGTGCTTGCTGGCTTTTGAGCTAATGGATCTCAACCCACTGTGAAGAAGTAAACAACGTGGGGGCCAATACACAGAGACCATCTATGGCTCCTTTATAGGACAGCTTGTTAAAACATAGATTATTGGACCCCACCTCTGGAGTTTTCGATTCATTAGTTTTAGGGTGGCCCATGAATCTGCATTTCTGACACGATCCCAGGTGTTGCTGCTGCTGGGGGCCCGGGGACCACACTTTGAGAACCACCACTTTCCACTCTGGATTCAAACCCAGGCTCCACCATTAGTGTGTGTGACCTCCAGTGAGTCATTTAGCCGCAGTCTTCCAAACTCAAATGCGAGTTCACTGAGCTCCTGGTAGCAAAGTTCCTGTTGTAACAATGGCACATAGTAGGTTCTCAAGTGCTGTGTGACTGGGGACCTGGGAGACCTGCAGACACCGTCCTGCTTTTCCTTCTGAGAGCAAAGGGAGCAACGGCACATCTGAGGGGGAAATCCTCCCTTTGCTTTGGTGTGTGCGTGGTTCTTTGCGGGTTGGGGTGTGGCGTATGCGTGTGTGGTTCTGCGCACGTGTGCACGTATGCACATCCACAGGCCTGGCAGGTAGAAAGTAGGTGCTGTCTTCAGAGGCTGTAATCTTGCCAGCTTAAAAACATTCCACGTATTATTTTTGGTCTAAAGGGAAACAGGGGAAAAAAACTTACCCCAAAGCTAATTATTTATGAGCAGTTGGTTCTCCACACTTTTTTTCCTCCCTCCATGCTCCAAGTCACTGAAAGCCCCAGCTACGTCAGTGGCTTCAGCCTGCTTGTTTGTATAAACAGAATAATTAAGATTTATTAAATTTGCAGCTGCCTACGCACTTGCCAACTCACTGCCGCGGGCATGTTTGCCTGCAGCATTTAGACACGTGAAATGTCATTGCTTTTTGAGTTGCAGTTGCGCTGTGAGTCAATTGCATTCATTGCATTGGCCCAGGGAGGTGGAACAGCCCTACCTGAGGCAAACTTTTAGTGGGGGATGGATTGGCCAAAGGTTCTGTGAGCCAGGGTGAAATAGGGCAGTGCTAGTTTGCGGAAACAGAGAGCAGGCATCTCCCATCCATTTCATATGTGGGCTCTTGGACTATAGATCCAGATGTTGTGTGACCTGAGAGTAGCATTTTATTTATTTGACTATGTTTCATAGGTTTTAAGACTCATATTTTTTCACATTTTCACATCTCTGGAATTCGGGTGTCTTGTTACAATGTAGTTCTTCCAGTGAAAATTTAGATTTACTGCCCGTCACCCCCAACCTGAGATTCCTTTAAATTAAAATGTCTGCTTGTGGGTTGTGTTCTGTTTGGGTTTCCTTTGGACCACACTGGTTGTGTAAACGGAGACCGCCAACCTTGGGGAGCTCCAGCCCGCGGTTCAGACTCTTGAGGAAGAGTTTTGGTTTCCCACCCTTCACCCAGTGCCAAGAGAAGACCTGGAATTTCCTTGCCCCCTCTTTCTGTGAGGTGGGTTTATTTCTCATTTCTCCTTATGTTGAAGGTGCAGCTCCCTTGGTCCCCCATACTGATGTGGGCTGTCCAATCAGATGCGCCATCTTGGTTGCTGTTCTTTTCTTTCTTAGCGGTTTGTAAAATAATGGTGCACTTTTTAATCAGCGTCTTAGATTGGATGAGCTACTGCGATACCCAATCTCAGTGAGTATTCCATATTAGATTGTAACTTTCTCTCTTTGCAAAAATCCCTTTTGTGTGTCAGGCACTGTGCTGGGCACGCATGTGCTGGGTCCTTAATACTCACAACTGCCTTCTCCTTTTATAGTGGGAGGAAATGGTTTCTGGGCCCCTTGGCCCCTTCTCCCACTCGTGGGATGGGATCAGATGGGAGTCAGGAGAGGCACCATAGCTTGAGTTTGTACTCCTGTGACTTACCGTGGAACTCCAGGGGCAGGTCAAATCTGCTTCTTCCCTAGTCACAACCAAAGGCCTGGGCTTTGCTAGGGCCATGCAGTCTCTGACCTCTAAAAGGCAGAGCCAGGGACAGGCTTCACCATGCTCTGTGTCATCCCACGGCCTCACCACTCCATCCATCTACAGAGCCCAGAAACAATCAGTCTTCGATGATTTGTGAACAAGTTGGTGCTAAAACTTTGGTGGTGAAGTATTTGAAACTAGTCCTTGACTACCAAGATCCAGAGAAGCATTCTCTACACTTGCTCACTCACCTTCCACCCCACAACTCGTCTGAAATTCATCGCAGTGAGGTACCCAGCAGCTACTTCTTCACTAAGGCCAGTGAACTGCTGTCCTCATCACACCTGGCCCTCGGGCACTGGGACTGATGACCAAGGCCTCCTCTTCCAGCTGCCTCTATCCTGATACCTCTCTCTTTGTTTTACTGTTTGCCAGCTATCTAAGTCAGTGTTGATAACACTCAATGTTAATGAAATACTATTATTTAATCCACAGTCCATATTTTAAAATTTTAAGCTGTCTCAATAGTCTCTTTTGAATTGATAGACTTTCGTT